CTTAAAGAAGAAGATTTTATTTTTTAAATTTGGGTTAGTTTAAATTTGGTTAGTTGGTCATATTTCATTTATTATCAAACTACTCAGCTCTCCAGGTGGAGGACAGTAAAAAGGGTAATGAAGTAATGAAATCAGTAGAAAAGCAGTGCACGTCTTGGCAGGGGAGACAAATCTGAATGCCTCTTTGTCAGCACGACATGAAGTAGGATATAGGACACAATAGTGATTTCCCCCGAGAGTAACTTTGTATTTTTTTTTATTGGGACAGGAATGACTGATTTTTAGCTCAATATATTGCTCTCCTCCTCCACAAATTGTGCCCGGGTACAAAACAGAACCATTACAGCGTTAGCTGGGTTAAATAGCTTGTGAGGGCTATTATAACAGAGGGAACTGCTGAGGTTTTTTATAGTCGTTATTGCTGAAATCGTTGTGTGTTTTTTCTTTACTTTAATATATGGCGGAATTTTCATTATCACACGTTTACTTTCAGGTAACTGCGTTGACATTCAATTGAAGTGGTGTATATGTTTTCTGTTACCTTGCTGTCCTCATTTTGGACTGTTTTGTTCAACTTTTACAATTTGTTCTGTTAGGAGGATCTTCTGAGTAACCTAGTACTAGTGAACAGATGGTACCAATGACACAGATCCAGGTAAGCTTTTCCTCAGTAAAAGCCATTCAGTGTGTATGCATCGTGTTCTCTAAGATATTTCTTAGGCTATAGTGGTACACTGTAAACCAAGAACAGTGAAAGTATTAACAATAATGACGAACGATGCATAGTTCAACACTATTTCTGTGGCTAAGTGACATGACTTTTTTTTTGTGTTTTTTAACCATGCTATCATTGACATATCGGGCATATATTCCCTTTGTAGCACCAAATGGCACATTTGCTGCTGTGATGTGAATCGACATTGCGGCCCGTTTTTAACTTTCCCATGACCATTACTTGGTACCCATTTAAGGCTGGGTCGACCTGGGAGCCAGGTGATGGCATTTTTAAACAAAAGTATAGGCCTCCATTCAGGGGGGCCTGAAAATCATGTACAAAACTATCGAAATATTGCCCTGGATCAGTCATGCAAAAAAAGGAAAATTCTACTAAAAATTATAATGATGAGAATGCATAAAAGAAAATGGACGAAGAGGATTAATTGTAGCTCAGGCTGATTTTAGACAGGGCAAAGAGGACCAAGAGATGTAATATGCAACATGCGTTTAATAATAGAGAAGTGTAAGAGAATGTAATGTAAGATCTGTTCTTATGTTTTGTGGATTATTCAAAAGCATTTGACTGTGCTACAACATCAGAAGCTTTGGGAAATATCATGAGGAATATGGGCTTCCCATCACATATAGTGCAGCTCACTAAAATGCTCTATTAAAGACCAACAAGTGACGCAGCAGTCAGAATAGATGGAGAGAGAGACATCAGACCTGGTTTGGCATCAAGCAAAGGAGTTCCGTCAGGGAAAATAAGTTATGCTGTGGTCTGTCACACCGTATTTGTTCCAACCTGTACGCCGAAAATATATAATGAGAAATGTAAGAGATGATATAAACCAAGGAACAATAGGATGCCCTAAACACAATCGGTGGTCATGAAAATACCAGAAATTCGTTATGCTGATAGATACAGTATTACTATTCACCATCACAAATATGGTTTACGGGGAAAACTTATTAACCTCGACTCCAGAAGAAATAGTGAAAAAATCATAACTTATTTTCTTAAACATAGCAAAATCAAAGATAATGCATACAAACAAAACTGCCACTGGAGAAGGAAATATATGTTAATGAGGAAAGATTGGAAGTGGTGGGGAAGAAATTTCGCAATATCTTTGGGTCACTGGTTACCAACAATGGTGGGGACACAATGAAAGAAATTAAAACGGCGACTATCAATTTTGCTCTTGCAAAAGACTAAAACAACTGAATAAATTATGGAATTGCTAACAGATAGAATTACAAAAGGTCCCAGCAGATTTTTAAGTGCAGCATGCATCTTTCCCATTTCAACATAACGCCTGTGAGACCCTGGACACTTACTAAAAAGCGAACAGCGCATAAATGCATTTGAAAAATATAAATGTTACAGACAGGTTTTTCTAAGAATAATCTTGGGTAAGAAAAGAACAAATGCATCCATACTTCAAGAGCTGAATATTGAAGAGGGTTGGCTAGTAAAGACAATAAAACAAAGAAAAAAAAATTGAAATATTTTGGGGGTCACTTGAAACGTCATGGAAGTCTAGAGAGAACAATAATGGAGGGGTATATGCCTGGGAAGAGAGGAAGAGGAAGGCCAAGGAGAAGATAGGTGCAGGATGTGGCAGATGATCTCCAGATGGGTGTATCAGACGCAGGACATCTTGCTCAGGATAGGAAGGTTTTCCGGAGAGTTGTTATGGCAGCGAGGTTCCGCGAGGGACATGCTACTGAATGAATGAATGAATAGCTCCATTTGGAGTGTAACCCACGACCTTTAGATTTGCATGCGGTGATATTCTAGCTGCTACACCACAGCTGTTCTTATTTGCCATATTTATTCTCATTTTTTTTTAACCTTTCCCATATAGATTTTAAGACCTAGCTGTTGTGTGTTCTGGCTTATTTAGTTTATTTTTAATTTTGATTCCATGAGTGCGACAGAAGAGAAACATCATCAGCGAAGTGGGCCCTGTCATTTAGACACAATGGAAGCAGAGTTAGAGGTCGCCCGCAGAAGTTGTGGATAGATGGAACATATGAGGGCTGTGAGTTGTGCCATCAGTGAAGCACATGCCAGCTGTCATGAGCGCAAACCTTCCAGACCTGATGCTGACAGCCAAAACAGGACTAGTGAAAAGCAAGAAATATGGTGTACTCATTTATACAAGCCCCCTTGTAGAGGGTTTGCAAGTGACATTTCGAGGGAGGTGAATCCATGTAGTAGGGGTATTTCCTCAAACAGTTGGAGTGCATCTCTCATGAGAAGCAAGAAACCAACAGTTTGCCTTACCAAGTAGATCCAGATATGCAGGCAAAACGGAAGTTCTGTATTCAAGACCAAAGTCAAGAGGTAAATAAGACAATCAGAACTTGGAGCACTAAGAAATATTATACACACCATAAGGAAATGTGTATTGTTCATCCATAGACGTTTGTATATTATTTAACTTTCAGAAACTTGGCGGGGCTGTTTCAGTTGATTGGGATTTTGAGGTTATTGCTGGGGGGAATCCGGAAAACATGATGGCACAGCAAGTGTAAGTTTGTGTGCAAGTTCTGGTAGTTCATGTGTTAGATTATCTTCAAAGCACTCTGGACACATCCATAGGTGCTCAGATTCCCCTCTCAACATATTCACCAAGCGTCATGTGTGGTCCTCCCCCTTGTAACATTATTTTGACCTTCGTATCCCAGTGACAACCCCATGAGCAGTGCTGACAATTTGTGTCCTATAATTACTTGCCCAAGCTTTTTACACCTAGGCATGTTGGGACCGCTTAAAAAATGAAAATAGGCCCAAAGAAAATGCTTCTTTGAGAGGACAGTAGAAATTTATGTTCATGAGAAACAGTTAGAAAGCTATTGGGGAGACATCCAAGTAGATATGTGCTTATTGAGGTTAAAGTTCAACAGGAAACGACTGTTTTTCACACATCTGGTGCACCAAGGATGTGGTGCTAGTTTTTTTGACATTTTTGAGGCCAAACAGTGGCTTAAGTGCGCTGATGTGGGCATCATCATGTCTGCCACCTTTGCTTTCCATGACATTACTCAATGCCCATTTTAGTCTGGATTGTCTTGGGGCAAAGATTACTTATTAAAAAATCTACATGGTATGGGTTTAGATCTATTATAGGCTGGAAAGCAAATGTCTAGCCCCTCTGAAGATAGCACTATGTTTTCAAAGACAGTAGAGATAAGACAAATGTTAAGAAAAAACAGCCCATCATTCTGTGAATACATTCTGTATTTGCTAGGGTGGGAAGAACATGGGAGGAGATTCTTGCCAGTCTTTTGTCAAGGCACGGAAGGGTGTCAACACAGAAACTGATTACATGAAGGTTGTGCAGAGGCAAGATACCCCGGCCGGTCAGAAAAGAAAGATATGTTACTCATTAAGGTCTTTATCAGCAACATACTGTTCTCAGCTGCTGTCTACCGGAGAGCTGTTCTAGCCACCAAGTCTCACAGGACATCCTGCAAACATGCCCAAGCTATCCCCGTCTTCTGCCTTCAATGTTTTTTCCTCAGCTCATTATGGGATTTTACTTGGCCCAGATATTTGCAAGATTTTTCCTTTGAACAATCAGTAGTTTTATTTCTATTTCTTTGCTGAAAGATCAGTTGTAAATCTTATGAGTTTATCCAAAGACATAAATGTGTTGTGCCATTTCACATCATGGTTGTGATATTTGCCCCTTTCGGCCGATACATGCAATTTCTATAGTCATTTGTTGCCTGGGTTAGCCTTCTAGGAGATTAAATAAATGACGTGTTCAGTTTGTTGCTTATAACATTTTCTCAGTTCCTTTAATTTATTTCACAGAAAACGGAGAAATCTGAATTTCTTAGCTTCTTTTACAAGCACAGTATGCACGTGTTAGCAGCGCCTTTATTTGTGAACACGACAGATAACAAACCAAGCAGGGGTAAGTGATACAATTATCATCATCAGGCTACTTAGTTAAGACTTCTGCTTGCCTGTGTGTTACTGGAGCCATCAGTTCTTCTGTGCTTGACCATCCTGCACTAAAAAAACCAGAATGCATACTATTTAATTTACATGTTCTGCTATGGTATATGGTTTTGTACTGAAGACTGCTGATCAATAAAATACTGTCAAATTGACTGCACACTTGACGGTTGCTATGGAAACCAAGATAAACAGTGGCCATATTGGATTTTCTTATCACAGTCCAAAACTCTCATTTGTGTGTGTAAAAGCTCCATTTTTTATATATATGTACAATCATAGGCCCTTTACACACTATCAACACATTTTTATGATATAGCTAGCCATTTTTTTTCTATCTAATTTTGAAATTGTAACAACTTTTTTATGGACAATTTTTGTGGTTTTCTGACTGCTGCAAAAAAACTAAGTCTTAGTTTCTCAAATGCTGTTGTCAGTATGGAAGTAATACAATCATAAATAAGTCTGTGAAATTTCATTACAATCTGACAAAAAGTTTTTGAGCTATATTACTTAAGAGTTAAAAAAAGGGGAAAATGAGAAAACAATGAAAAAAGAATTATTTTCATGTTTTTTTATGCTAATAAAGTTACCTTAATGTTTAAACTATGTATTTTACACACAAACACAGTTTCTGACAGTGTGTTATCATCAGAACAATCCTGCTCCATATGCAGGACCACCCTCTAGGGCCTGCAGTTCTTCCTGCCTCTTCAGTTTGGCCGCTCGCACAGTGTCCCGTCTCTTTGTTTGCTTGTCTTTTTTAGATTTCAAGCTATTTCTAACTCTCTTTTGAATCCTAAACTCTCCTAGTCTTTTCATATGCAGGCCTGGAGAAAATCCAAAAAACTGTGCAGTGTCATGGGCTGCAGCAGCACCAAAGTTAAACTCTCTTGCAGCTGTTACAACTGCAAACTGAACACGCTTGCGTGAGGCAAAGTTGTCTTTAGTACAGCGAGCCCAGATCAGACTGTGCAAACACTCATTGGAATTCTGAGTTTTTCCTGAAACACACCTACTTAGTAGTTTAGGATCAGACAACCTTTCATAAATTGGCAAAAGGTATTTCTGTAGCTTGTCACAGTTGAGCCATGTATGTAACATCTTGTCATGAGGACCCGGAATCTGATGCCTAGCCAGGGCAGATTGGAAAAAGCACCAAGACTGCTCTCCACTTGGGCACATTTCATGGCGTGGAGTTTTGTCTGTTGAAAAACAGTGATGCAGTGAAGCCATAACACTGTTCCTCATGGACTCTACACTTGTGTTGTTCCTTATGGCTCTATTGTAATAAATTGTCAGCTTACGGATGGCATTCTGTGTAAGCTGACCTTTACCACGTCCACCTAGGGTCACACCCTGCTTTCGGCAGTCAGCAACAACATTACGGAGTGCTGTTCCAAGACGTTTACTCACATGGTTTATACATTCTTCTTTTTCTATGTGAATGTCGTCCCTATAAGGTTTTATTTTGATAAGCTCCGCATATGTTTTCACATCACCATCAGACAGTATCGATGTGTAGCGAAGCTTATGACGGGCCACAGACCGCTGCCACAGCACTCGTGCAGCCTCCACCTCCATCATACCTGCAGATCCTGTGAAATTGTTATCACAGTTTGGAAGGTGGTCTGACTTCCATGATTCAAATTCATCTGGATTATCTCTGGCAAGTGTCTTACCAGAGGTCTCGCACACCTGACAATAAGTCGACATAACATGCACATCTATACAAAGTCCAGTAAGGACATCCACTGCACAGCCAACTCCAATGTGGGATGTGTGGCCTCTAGTCAGCCAAGTGCCATCAAAGCTGACAGCAATATCCAGCAAATCATTGTCATGTAGAATGATGCCTGACTGCTGTGCATGGACATGCCGAACATACTTCACTGTTTGAGAAAAAACCATGTCCTCCAGATCTCCTAACCTTGAATATAAATGATTCGCTTTGTTATGGAAAGTTCTGTGATGAAGACCTTGCAAGTTCATATTTTCGCAAAAATTGTTAAATGTTGTGGCACCCATTCCACAAACTAATGCAGAAAAAACTGACTGGCTGTTGATGGCAAAAGATCTATCCCTATCACTGCTTCTTGAAGCTAGGTATCCTCCACAAACTACTTGTTCACAACAAGAGCAGTAAACTTCTGCATGCACAGCTAACCCTTTAGGTTTCTTACTGTCAGTTTTCAAAATAAGACTCGAATTTTTACATAGTGGACAACATAACGTTTTGATAATTTTATCATCAAGTTCGGAAAAATCAACAATCCCTCTGCGTTCAAGTTTGTTGGGTGCACTGTTGTCAACAGAAACATTTTTGCTGCTAGAGGAAGTCATAAATTTATACGTATCTATTTTAAACTGGCTTCGGGTTTTTTCTGAAAGGAAAGAGTCACTTTCACGACTTTGAGATGAACAGGATGGTACAGTCGACACAGTATCGGTGACGTTAGACTTAGAACAATGAGAATCAGCCATGTGCAATTTAGCTTGGTCGCATTCCACATCTTCTGTAATGTTTACGACGTTCTGCTCGATTTTTCTTCGCTTGCGAGCATCTGCCAGTTGTAAACTTCTAGATTTCTTACGCTGGGCAGCTGACTTTAGGGTAAATTTCTTAGAGCGAGGCATTTTTTTCAATTCACGAAGTTTTGCAGTCTCTATGTCAACATTCGATCACGCGGCCATCTTGGACAAATATGATACCACGTGATCAGTTTTAGCCAACGGGAATCACACGTAACAAAAAACAGTGGAAGTCACGTGAGCAACGAGACCAACCCAATCGCACGTAGTACGTTATACCCATATATGGAAGTGTCCGGACATTTATACTGGTCAGGGAATCGGCAGTGAATGGAAAACTTGAAATACCAGAATCACGATTCCCGCTGAACAATGTAGGGGACATAATTACGATTACAACGGTATATAATACATTCAGTTATCTCCTTGTAGAAATGGCGTTGTCAAATTGCGAAAAACGGCAATTTTGTCACAAATATAAAATAACAAATAATTTCACTACTTAGGTTAGCTCAGTAAAATATTATTATTTCTTCTAAATAATTTTATTTTGACAAAAACGAGTAGTGATTCTGACAGAAGACATAATAAGGTGTATAGAAATAAACTTTTCCGAAAATTGACAACCTGACCCAAATTCACTATTTTCGTCATTTCAACATCCCCTTGACCTTAAAGGGGCAGCCAGTACCCTTTTGTTAAGGTTTACAGCTGGGCTGCGATATCTGCACCTTTCAGCTAAACACATCCCATTTCAGTGAATGTTGAATTAGTTGCTTTTTGTGGCCATGGGTCTTTCTCTCTCTCTCTCTCCCTCTCTTTCTCTCTCTCTGTCCCTCTTTCTCTGTCTCTCTCTTTCTTCTCTCTGTCTCTCTGTCTCTCTCTCCCTCTCTCTCTCTCCCCCTTTCTTTCTCTCTCTGTCTCTCTCTCCCTCTTTCTTCTCTCTGTCTCTCTCTGTCTCCCTCTCTTTCTCTGTCTCTGTCTCTCTCCCTCTCTGTCTCTCTCTCCCCCTCTCTTTCTCTCTCTCTCTCTTACACACACACACCACCATGGAAAGGAGGCCATTAATTATCACATTTTGGTCGCCCACTGTTGAAAAAACAGGCTAGGCCTATATCTTGTAGACCAGTCGGCACTCAGCTGCTGATGTGGTCAGCATCACTCCGGCCGCCTTTACATTCCAGGACTTTACTTGGTGCCCATATAGTGCTGGGTCAACCTGGGAGCCAAGGTCATGTTTGAAGGAAAACAAATTCAGATTTAAACCCAAGACCTCCAGATCTGCAAGAGAGCTCCGGCCAAGTTATGAGAAGAAAGAAACTAGAGCATGTTGTGACAAATGGAAAGAGTGGTAGAGGAAAAAAAATATGTGAGAACATTCTTGCTAGTCATTTGTCATGGCATGGAAGGGTGCCAACACACAAACTGATTTACTTACATGCAGGTTGCACAGAGTTGTGATGCCTACGTCGGTCAGCAAGGCACTTGATGAGGGTCTGAACAAAATGACCTGCTGCTGGCCGTATTCTATTTTGATGAATGTTTTTTTTTCCTTTCTCTTGTCTGTTCAGATGATTACCAGACTGCACAGCTGCTGAGTCTGATCCTGGAGCTGTTGACGTTCTGTGTGGAACACCACACATACCACATCAAGAATTATGTCATTACCAAGGATGTCTTGCGACGGGTGCTTGTGTTGCTCAAGTCACGGCATTCTTTCCTTGTCCTTTGTAAGTGTTATGTTGTGTAAGACTTGTGTGTGGGTCTGTACATTTGTGAACTCATGAATGGTACTGTCTCTCTCTCTCTCTCTCTGACCTTCTCTGTCTTCTGCTCACTCTGTCTGTATGTGTACGCATGTTTTTTTATAATGTTTGTTTATTTGTATGTGTAAAATGTATGTACATTTGAATGTATACATTTATCATGACTGCCTTGTTATTTGCTTGATATTATTGGTACTGTGCATGTTGTTACATGAACATAACATGGTTAATGCAAAAATTATATTGCTGTGTGTTTGGGATGGCTGGATTTAAGACGAGCCTGCATGCACAATTCATGACCCTTTGAATATAGAGTTCATTTGTTTCCTTGAAAATTGAGTTCATTTCTTCATTTATAGTTCCCCATTCTCACCGTCTCTCTCTTACTTTGCCCTTTATGACTATCCTCTTGCTTTGATTTCCCTCTCTGTGTTCTTTTTGTTACCCTATTTCTCCCGCTGTGTTACTTTTGTCACAACGTATCTTAGTGTGTGTGTAGAAGGGCGTGGGTGTTTGTTTCACGACGACGCCGTTCTGTCCTCGAGTGCAATTTTTACGGCGATCCCTGGGGATTTTTACTGGAGCTACGGAGTTCATGTTTTATGTGATGCTCTCGGCAGGCAGTTAGTTGCTCTGCGGAGAGGGGCCAAGCCATATGGGATAAAACCCGGTGCCTTTGATAACTCATTTTTCCCCCTCCTTTCTCTCTCTCTCCCCCTCCCTTCCTCCCCCTGTTGCTGTCCCAACCTCCCATTACCATCTTTCTTCTTTCCAGGAATCATTGCAGACATTTTTGTTTGAATTCAAGTTAACATTTAATGCTTAAGAACATTCGATTTTGTTGGGTTTTTTTTTCTGTTTCTTTCACATTGTAGCTTGTCATAAAATTATGTTTGTCTTTTTAATTTTCCAGGTGCCTTAAGGTTTTGTAGAAAGATAGTTGGATTAAAAGAAGAATTCTACAACCGCTACATCATCAAAGAAAATCTGTTCCGGCCTGTTGTGGATGCTTTCCTGGCAAACGGGGACAGATACAACCTCATTAATTCAGCCATGATTGAGCTCTTTGAGTTTATTAAAGTGGTGAGTGATTTTATTATGAAATAATTTATCTTGAACCAAAACAAAATTGCTTGCTTGTGGTTAATTTATTAAGTTTATCTGTAGAGTGTGCATTATGGTGAGGGGAGACTAGTACATTTCCCTTGTAGGTAAATCTGTGGTATCCATATAGGTATAATGGACGCCAGTTACAAGCTCTCGGGAAAATCTACTCTTGGTTTAGGATGAGATTGAACGGCTGCCCCCCCCCCCCCCCCCCCACCCCCCCCCCCCTTTACAGACTAGTCGTAGGAGTCGACTAATTGGGGGCTTCCTCCGAAGTCGGAGTGGATCTGCCCGAGAGGCAAGGAACCAACAATCTGCATACAAATAAGTCAGATCTGTAAAAGGTTGTGCATGAGACTCACATTCAGGAGCAAGACTAAAGTCCAAAGGCGGACGAACAACCGAAATTTTCTGCCGGATTTACAGCCGGCGAACGCAAAGAAGAACAACTGTTGCCCTGGAATAGCATTCACCGTTCTTCGGAAAATAAATTTGATTGCTTTGATTTGTCAACCTCTGATCTAGCTCATAAAATGTGAGATGGGCTTATCTTTCAGGTTTGTCTTTGTTAACTTTGTCTCTGTCTTCCATCAAGACTGGATTTGACGAATCTGTTGGGTGTCATTACTGAAGGGGGGAAAGTTAGTATCACGGATTATTACAAGTACAGACACTTATTTTCGGGTGCAGGTTGGAGACCAGTGCACAAGAAGGTAGAGATACTGATGGTAGGCATTATTCAGTCAGCTATGTCAGTGCACACCTGTTTGGTGGGTTACCAGGTGCATAAAAGAAGTAACTGTTCAGTTTCCATGCATATGGTAAAAGGTGACAGGGGACTGTTGGCATGAGATTGATTACATGATTCCATAAAACACTATAGATACAAAATTCTTTTTCATTTGAATTCACCGGCATTGACTCCTGGTATACATATCTAGTTGTTCGCCCACTTCTGGACTTTAGTCTTATTCCATAACTTTAGTTTTGCCTGCACAGCTGTTTTACAGAACTGGCTTATTTGTATGCAGACTGTTGATTCCCCATCTCTCAGGCTGAGGCACGCCAACTTTTAACGAAACACCATTAATTAGTTTTAACGTGGGGGGGGGGTGTGTGAGTTTATTCTCTCTCTCTCTCCCCCCCCCCACCCCCCCATAGTAGGGCCCTCCGAAACCCACATAAGAGAGGGGGGATCCCAACCAATAAAAAGCTAGTCTACAAAGTGTTTCACGTGTTGGTTGGGAGATTGAGGCTAGAGATGAATGCTGCCACAGATCAGTTAAAAACCATGTAAGAAAGACATCTGGTATAGATTCTTAGTTCACATTTTAACGTCATACAGTTCTATTATCTTCATAGTTGTCACATAAATCTCTTATGCCCACACAGGAGGACATCAAGTCATTGAGTATATACATCGTGGAAACCTTCCAGAAGGAGTTGGAGGGAGTGAAATATGTGAAAACTTTTGAAATCTTGAAAGTGCGCTATGAGCAACAGCGAGACCGAAACAGAGACAAGCACACCTTTGACAGGTTAGCTTGAAATTTGTGTTAGATTTCATTGTCTCTTGTCTCTTTTTTGTGTGTTTTGTTTTAGCTTGGATCTTCTTCAGGTTCACCGGCTGTAAACTGCAGCAGAATGTTCTGATTGTTCATCCACTGCTAGACTTTGGAGTCTTGCCACACACACACACATGCGAGCTCACACACATGAGAGAGAGAGAGAGAAAATCAAGCTTAGTGCACACACACCATTCATTATCCTCCTCTAATATATCATATAAGTTCCGTCCTCCTCGACTGTTCTATGTTGTGCTGTCCTTTCAGTATCATTTTTACATCTTGATACAAGCTGTATCTCTTTTTTTTTTCAACACACATCAGTTTCCCCAGGCATTAGTTTTTAAATGCATGTAACTTTCATTCATTGTTTTTAACTGGTTCTCCAACTGTCACTGGTATATGTTACAGTTTAATTCATCATCATCAAAAACCACTTCTGCCGTTAAGCGTCGCCTGTTGGAATAATTTGCGATGCAGTGCACGTTGGCTGCCACTGGCTATTATGCCGTGAAGGCATAGTGTGTCTTTTTTGTTCTCTATCCATGTTTTTTTTTTTTTTTGCTGCCATCCTTTTGCTCTTGTAGCTGATCTTCTGAGAGATATAGTGCTTGTGATGGTATTTGATCTTGCTGCATTCTTACGAAATGACTAAACCACTTGATCTGCTGTTTTTTTGATGAATCTAGTACAAGGTGTCATTCCCACAGTTTTTCTGACATTATCATTATCCACTCGATCTCGATTTGGTAAGGTTGTCGGCTTTTCTCAGGCATCTCATCTTGCAAGTGGTGATTTTGTGTACGTTCACTTTAGATAGTGTCCATGTGTGGCACTGGCAGCTGCTTAATTTTGGAATGAATATTCTGTTTATAATGTATCTCTTTGCTCTCATAGTTATTTTTCAGTGTCTTGATAATGGTGACGGTTTATAAGTGCACTTGTTTTCTGACACTAGTTTTTCATGAAATAATTTAAAAGTTCCATATTTTTTCAAAGTAAACCCCGAAAAGAAACCCTAAAACGGATGTTGTTGAGAGAGGCCAAGGAGCTGGACTGGATTCAATCCATGAAAGTGTTTGAATGGAATGGAGGAACAGACTGCAAGCCATATGTGATATAACAGCACAATGGGACATTGAATGGATGAATTTTGTTGAGGTTTTTAGGAGCTGCTCTTGCCTTGCCATTCTGTATCATAAAGTCTTTTTTTATTAACTCGGTTGTTACCGCAATCATTATATACAGTTAACATTTTCACCGTTCTTTGTTTCTTCAGTCATGCAGCGTCTGTAATGCGCAGCAGTAGGTTTCGACGGGATGCCCGCGCCCCAGATGATGAGGAAGAAATTTGGTTCAGCCAAGATGACGACAATGATGATGACAGTTCCCCACAGGTGTCTGAAATTCTGCGGAGTAAGATCGACTCAGATATTGACCACATACATCGTCTCTGGGAAAACAAGAAAGGTCAGTGATTGATGGCATATTCATCTGCACATCACTCTCCGCACATCACTCTCTGCATTGATTTGATATAGACTTGTCTCCGTTTCTGCTTCTTCTTCTGCGTAAACACCGGCTGTTATCTCCAGCCGATTACCAGAACTTGATTATTGGATGCACATCCGCTTTACATATCTTGTTTATTTGTATGCAGACTGTTGGTTCTTTGCCTCTCTGGCAGATGCACTATGACTTCAAAGGGAGTCCCAGTCAGTCAGCTCTTACGACATGCTTGTAACCCACTAGGAAGACTTTGTCTCCATTTGATTCAGTGGTCACAATGAATTGGTGGCAGCAGCTTTGCACACTGTTAAGTCCAGTTTTGTGGTGTGTTGTTCTTCTAATAAAGGTTCCCCCAGAAATAGGACCTAACCAGGCACTCTTTCACTGTGTCATATAAATCCAGTTTAAGATTGACACCCTGGAGAGACACATTTTATTTGTCCCTTGCAATATCCAGTGGTCCTATCCAGTTTAAGATTGACACCCCGGACAGACACATTCTATTTGTCCCTTGCAATATCCAGTGGTCCTATTATAAATCCAGTTTAAGGTTGACACCCTACACAGAATTTGTTTGTCCCTTGTAACACACAATGGTCATATTATAAAGTAATGAATGTTTAAATGCTTGATTGAATGTAGATTTTTTTTAAACGGAATAAATGTAGACATTTTTTTTTACTGAACAAATGTAGATTTATGTTGTTCACACAAAAAAATGTCATCCCTTGGGGAAACAAGCAACTTAAGTCATCTTTTTAGAGTAAAATTTAAAATAACACCAAGTTTCAATTTGGGGGAAAATAATCTCTGTTGGCAGTGAAGTATCTAAAACCTGGGGATCAAACATTACCACTTAAAAGTTTAATTCCAGCTAGTCCTGTCTGATAGGCTGCTACCCAAACATACCCTTCCACAGAAAGTGACATTTTAGTACCGATCTTGCACATTATCTTAGTCTTTGGCCATAAACATGGAAAGAGTCATTAGGTGACCTCATTTCTTATATGTTATATAATATGGCAGGCTGTTTCAACCTTTGAAAAGCTGCCGTTGCCATCACCAACTCTGATCTCATGTTAGATTTGGTAAAGACCTGTCAGACTCTTTGTAATAAAATTGCAAGTGACACATTGTGTGCTGTATGAAACGCTAATAAATTACCCATCCTGCTACAAAATCTTCACATTTGAATTGTGTCCCCCCGTGTGAGTTTTAGGGCCCCATGTTTGGTGGGGGTGAAGGAGAGACCCCCTGCCCCCCTGACAAACATACCATGAGAGGCAGCTGATTAGCGCTTTATGAAATTGGATGTGTTGAGTCAAAAGGCACTCATATCGCAGCCTAGCTGTAGACCACAATGCAACATGCCCACTACCCTTTTAATGTTGAGTGAAGCATTGTGAGTGATTGGCCATTTTCTTGTTTTATCACATCATTTATTTTTCTTTAACATCCTTTATTTCTAAACACACTATGTGTCTTGTTTGTCCTACAGCTAAAGAGAACCAGTCAGATGTTGGTGATAGCCCACCACGAGCCCTGTCTGGCACCAAGTCATCCATTAACATTAGCATCAAAACCGGCAGCAACTCCTCCCTCTCCTCCTTACTGAGCAGCCCAGACTCGCCGGGGTCCCGGAGTGGTTCGCCTCCAGTCTCGGGCCTCGAGTCATCAAACAGCCCCCCACACTCCTCAAGTCGATCCTCTCTCAGTGCAAATGGCAACATTTCTGCGACCGGAAAAGTCAGTAATAGTCCTTTGACGGCCGCTGGCAATACAGCCACCAGCAAAACTGCTCATGCTACTTCTCCTACTTCTAACGCCGCAGCATCGCCACGAGTTGCTGGTTCTGACGGTTCACCTTCTGCTAGTGCAGTGACCACTAAAACGGTAAGGTTTTGTAATTTTCTTGATAAGTGTTGTCCCTTTATATTGTTGCAGTTTTATCTTTAAAGTAAGGTGTAAAGTAAAGGTCCCTTTACCACGCCTTCAGGCATAAAGGGCCAAACCTATATTTGTATAGACCAATCGGCACAAAATGTGTGAGTGGTCAGCATCACGCCGGCTGCCTTTATTTCCCGGGACTGCATCCGGTACCCACTTAAGGCTCGGTCGACCTGGGAGTCGAGGCCATTTTTTAAAAAAAAGTCCGGCTTCGCCAGGAAGCGAACCCATGACCTAAAAGTAAGGTGGGAATATAACAGTTTTGTTCTGTTGAAAGCTGTGCCTTTATTTGTGTGGTTTTCTTGGCCACCATTTTGGGGAAGAAAAAGATATACCCACTGCCTCCCTAAAAATCATTTTGTAAAAGACTAAATTGGGGGTTTGATGAAATCGATGTGTTGGGCTGAGAGAAACAAATATCACAGCCTTGTAGTCCACGACACAACCTGCCAACTGCCGTTTTACGGGCGAAAGTAGCAAAACAAGGAAGAAAGCAGAGCTCTGTTGTTGTGACTTTAAATAAGGGGACGGACGATGTAATGCACAATGTATTCTTGGTGTGTTTCATTGCAGCTTAGCAGGTGCATGTTACATAATTTACTGCAACAAATACTGAGATTAAAGCAGTGCCTTAATTAGTCGCCTCGATGGTGGTGGTAATAAAAGCACTGATGTGGCTAGAAACACGTAATTTTTCTCATGCCTGCTTTCTAAGTGATTACATGAGCATGCTTAAGAAGATCAAGATGGGATGGATTCGAAGGAAATGGTTGGAGTCGGTGAGGAAATCGCGTCTAACATGATTCAGTTAAATTTTTGTGCCAGGGCAATATTGGGTAAGAAGGAATGAACGAGCAGATTGACTGGCTGGCAGGGCCACTGTAGGTATAGGAAAAGCAATGGACCGAGCCGATATTCTCAGTGCTGTCAGGGAGGCAGGATAAGTAGATAATTCAGGAGACGATGGTGAGTCGGTAGCATTCAGAAGGCAAGAACTTCTGGTAAAAAGAGGTGTTGTCAAACAACAACACTATACAAGCCAGCCAAACAAGAATAGTAAACCAACACAAAACTGGTGATATCAGTCGCCGCGCGCTGAGGGTTTTACTGAAGATGGGATCGGAGCACTTATGGACCTATCCGGAGTGCAGTGAGGATAATCTGTCGAATAACTATCTAGTCACCTTGTACGGCGTGCCTGTTAAAGAGCATTGGGCCTTCTCTTCTTTTCCCTTGGAACCAGTGGACAATGCTGATGGAAGTAGAGACCCCTAAACATTTTGCGCGGGCACAAAAACTGTCAGTAGCATTAACCACGCATCTCTGAAACTGGTCACAATAGACCAGTTGAAAAAAAAAAAAGTAGATACGTGTATGGGGAATAAGATCCAGCTGGAAGTTTTGATTGTGTGTTTCTCAATGTGAACAGGAATAAAATGTCATGAGATGCACTTCAAATTAACAGCACCTGTTATTCTGTGATTTATCCATTTGTTTCTCATTTATTCCTACAGCCTGGTCTCAAAGGTTTAGTTGATTACCCTGATGAAGATTCAGAAGAGGAAGAGGAGGAAGAAGAAGAAGAAGATGTGATATCACCATCTCCAAAACGGCCTCGAGTTGGAACGTAACCTTGAAGGCAGACATGTTAATCATTTCTTTTATGTTGATGTTAGTTAATTTGTTTTGTTGCACGAATGTATGGTGGCATATCATTGCTGTATTCTCCCATGGTTATATGTTCTTAGTTGTTGCCAACAGTGTCTAGTTCAGCGTATTTCACACAACATTTGTCTCAAATGTTAATATCCAGGCATTTTTTTCTTTTCCAATCTTACCACGGCGTATTATTGCGAATTTGTCTTGTCGTAACAGTGTAATTAAAATTAAGAGAGCAGATTTAAAATGATTGTAAATAAATACAACAGAATAAATGGTTTCATGTCACTTGTTCCTTCCTTTCTTGCCATGCTTCTTTGATCAGATCCATTTTAGTAAAAACAAATAACAGAATGGTCTGTGTTGAAAGTTGTTTTGGTAACGGAAGAGGAAATAACAGCGCAGTTTGTGATGTTCAACAGTTGTTTATCAGGCACGCATGTTTTTGGTTTCTTTTAACATCGTTACAAATAAAGAATGTACATAATTTCATATGAAATCAGTTCAGGGAGTGACTTATGACGTACAATACACTGTCTGTTGCTCATGAGTAACAGCACACTTTATTTACGAGTTGGCTGCAGATGCTGTTTAAACCTGGCTACATTTATACATTTTTGTTAGTTTCTGTTTTCCAATAATGCCTGTATTATTTTCTCCCCAGTTTATTCTTTTGTTGATTGTTTTTTTTTTTTTTTTAATGAGAAAGTGAAGTGTATATTTATTGCTGATAGATTGAAATCTTTCTTTTTCTTTCTTTCTTCCACCACCAGTATGTTGCTTTCTCTTATGAAATTGAAAAACAGTATGAAGAAATTGACACAAACATTCTAAAGAAGTTCAGAATATAATAAGATCTAATCTGTGCGAATGTGCATTTTATTGAAAAAGTATTCCAGGTAATAAGTTGAGCATTTAAAATCATATGACAGGACAACTATAAAACTAATGGATTAATTTCATACTTTTAGAAAAAATGAAACAAATAATTTGTGTTAACATTCTGGAGATAAACAAAACATTTAAATTTTACATTTAATGGGTAAAGCGGCACTTGGTCATGTCGTTAAAATGCCCAACACCGACATTGTGGTGCCTTGCTTCTAATTTTCACAATGGAAAGGAATTTTTATCTGTTACAGAAATTACAATCCTAGCCTGCAGTGCCACTTGCAAGCTGTTTTACTGCCTCAGCTCCTTAAAATCTGCTTGTTTTACACCAGCAATTGTGTGTTTTATATTACTTTTGTGCCTGCATTTAAAAGAAGATGTAGAACTTGTTCAGGTTTAAGATAAGCACAGTTAAACAGGTTATCTACATTCTGTTTTAAGAATGTTTTCAGATTTGTGTGACCTTTCATTGGCAGCCATTTGGGCAAAAATCTGGCAGGTATATTTTTTAATCTTATGTTTAGTGGTTTATTCGTTTACGTGGTTCTTGAATCTTATGTTTTGTTAAGATCCTAAGGAATAGACTGGTTGACTTTCTAAGTAGCTGCACAGTGATTTAATGATGTATTTTGTTGAAATTATCATTTTTATGTTAAGATTTTGAGAGTTTGCTGATTATTTGTTATATTTTAAAGTTCTCTTTTCTTGATGATGTGGCTCTTGGTAGATTCTTTGTTATATTTTGTCAGAGTTCTCAGTTCTTAGCGTTCTGATTAGCTTTAGTATATTCCACCTTTTCTTTAGTAATGTATTATGTTGCAGTAGTCTTTTCTTATTTGGCTGGCTAAGAGTTTCCTCTGGCATGTCTATAGATTTAGTTACCCTTTCTGGCTGGCTTTTGACATATCAGTGGGTATTTCGGTTTTCTCCACAGTGAGTCCCTCAAAAGAAAAGCACCTGTTTGACCTTCTTATGCCTTTGTTTGCTGCTGTTTTATGGCCACTCTTATCTTCACTCCAAGTAGCTTTTACATTCAGCATCAATTTATTTGGTTAAAACTCATTCTTCCTTGAACTCACCGAGGGCCGTCATAATTCTCGTGTCGATCTATTGGCTGTGCTGTCTAATATGGTGGCAGAACCTGGATGTTTGTTTGCTCTTTCTTTCCTTGTCTCTAGTGACTATGTTCCCTAGTATAAAGATGCTTGCATATTCTTGGTCTCTGCAGAGATGTCATCTGATATCTGCTTGCAGATGCGCAGCGAATCAAGGTAATGTGCTAGTGTGAGTGATTGTCGTCTTCTTTAACACAAGAAAATGGTGCCTAGTAATTATGTAGCTTGTTCAGTCAGTAGCCCTGGAAATGGAGGACGGAAGAGGAGACTGAGTGACCTAAGGAAACCTGCAGAAGGACAGTAGAAAGGGAAATAAAGGATTGAACACTGAGATGGAATACCACGGGGCAGACTGGCAACAACAGAGGAAAAAAATAGACCATAAGTTAAATGTATTTGATAGAGAAGAAAGCTGGCCATTTAGTCATGGCCTAATACAAATGAGGCTCTGTCTCCACACTCCCATCGCAGATTGCATATCTGCAAAGCCTTGAATATTCACAGCTGTTGCTGTTATTTTTTCTTTTGTCGCTGTTATATTTTTCTTTCTTTTCTTAGAATAGTGTTTTATATTTTGGTCATCTCTTTGTGCTCATGGTCAGGTCTCCTCCCTCCCAGAATTCATGTAAATGATGTAGTTAAATGCTTGCAGCCTTGTGTGGCCAATATAATCAGCTCAATTAGATACACACTTTCTGTAAACATGGTTGTGTTTTCTGTCTTATTGAGGATTGGCACAGCAGTGGTTCATTGACTGCGTCAGTTGTCTGTCCTTGTTGCACTATTTTTAACTGAAAGTAGGAAGAGCGGGCTGCTGGGTAATGTCAGCAAGTGATTTCTGGTTAAAACTGCTCTGCTGCCTGAGATGTAATGCCGCGTATTTTATGTGACTGACAACGGGGGAGATTTTTGTATATCTTGTGTTCTTGTTTATATTGTGGCTGCTTGGGCATTTTCTGTAGGTCTGTTTTCTTGTTTACATTGGGAGAATTTCTCTGTGTGTTGATGTTCTTTTTTACTTTGTGAGGGCATGGAAAGTTAACCGCATATAGTCTGAGAAAGAGTGAATTTGTAACCCGAGCGTAGCTGCTGTTTCTGGATTCACTTCATCAGAATATTCTCATTTAAAGAAAAAAAAAAACCTTGTTAACTCAAACAACTTTTTTTTTTATTATTTGATTTCGTTTGCCATTTATGTACTTGGTTTTTATATGACATACAGTCTGTTGTGTACTGAGTGATTAGAAGTGTTATATGGCCCTGTTTATGGGCTAAAGGAAAATTAAAAGGCAATGTTGTGGTTGATTAGTGTTGATGGAATGTTTGTCTGTCAGTTTGTTGCCTCTGTGTGGTTATGATTAAACACTGTAACAATATCTTGGATGTTATCAATTGATTTCAGGGTTTTGTTTTGGAACTGTATTTTTTTTTTAATGTGTAAAAGACAAGAGTAAAGACTTCATTGCACAGGGTTTTATCCTATAAGACTGGGTCTGTCTCAGTAGAATGACTAGCCACCCGTCAAGAACGTCACACATGACATCAACTGAGTAACTCCATTTGACAACTCCTAAGGGTTCTCTGACCTGAAAGATGCTCATGAAGTGAAAGCTACTAAACCAGGGCTATTCAAATGGCGGCCCATGGGTCAAGTGGACAGCGTAGGCCGGGAATTGTTGCCAGTTGTATTAATGATCTTCCTGTCATGATACACAGACCTCGGATCCGTGACAATCCCCGTGTTCACCAGTGGGGCTGCTGACTAAACTTAGTTGAATAGTTCTTCTCTAAACAAACACAGCCTTTAGAGCACGAGGCAAATGGCATAATCTCTTAGTCACCAAGACTGGTTTGAACACCAGTACATGGATGTCATGGCTGCTGATCTCTATAGAAACAGATGTGGCCTGTCCAGATTGTTATATTGTTGGGGGGGGGGGGGGGGGGGGGGAAGAGTTTGGACATTTTAATGTTGAACTGAATTACCTGTGCGATGAGAGCGAATCGACTGTAGTCCTGTCTGCCAAGTTTTAATTGTGTAAATGATATTTTTAAGTAAGAAAATATTGATACTATTAAGCATTCACAGGGTTGTCAACATCCATTATCTCTTCGACCTTTGGCAGTATTTTTATGCAGAGATAGACTGTTGTTGTATGAATACACTCATAGCTGCCACTTTGCTGTTCAGTCATCCGGGAATCATTGTTTAGTTTTTAACCGCAAACTTTTAGGGCTCCTTGTTTCATGTACCTGACCATTCGTTTGTATTTTTAATGTGGTTGTGTTAAAATGTTTTTCTTTTGCAACGCTTCCATTAATGTATGTACTTTCCCTCAGTATTTGACAACTGTTGTTAATAAAGATCATGATCAGTCCCACCCCCCACCCTTGTTTTCATTATTCAAAAATCCTTTCCTAACCTTGTTTTTTTTTTTAATCCTTGGGCTGGCTGGCTGCAAATTTTGGTGAAAAATTCTGTTTTTTTTTTTTTTTTTACTTCTGAACTTTGGTCTTGTTCCAGACAGATGCGCTCCGACTTCAAAGGATGCCCCTAGTTAGTCGACTCCTACAACATGCTTGTTGGGAAGGCAGTGGGTATGTTCTTGCGTCCCCCAAGATAGGGTCCCGGAACCCACACAGGGTTAAAAGATTTCTTCAATAACTCAGCAGTTTTGTTGTCAGAATATCCATTCTCTAACTCATTGAAGCCATCCATCCATTGAATGACAGTTTATCCTGCGATCATTTAGAGTCAAGTTACATGAAGTTTTACTATTTCTGATGGTGCTTTATTGGCATTGTTGTTTTAAAAAATGCCTAATTTTGTGTGTCTTTTATTGACACTTTAAAATATGTCATTCACTTAAAAACACCACAGGTGGTAACTTTTTTAAGAAGCGAAGATAAAGTAGTCAACACATGTGTTAGAGATGTCTGAGGCAGAATCTAGTATTCTTTGTATG